CCGAGTGTCTATAGCAGCTGGCCCCTGCTCACGGTCTCTGGTGGGCACAGAGACATGGGAGGCGTGGGCCTGCGTGGAAACTGTCCACTGGTCTCTATAGACACTCTGCAGGCGACCCGGCGGCTGCCTGCTTCCCAGGTGGCCTGTCCTGTCTGGGCCCTGATGGGGAGGCTCCTCCGCCCGCTGGTGCTGCCTCTTGGCCTCTGGGTGGACTCAGGCTACATAAGGACCTGGATTCTGACATGTGTGGCTGAAGTCCAGTGGGCTCCGGGGGTACAGGGACAGGAGGGTGTTGGGATTAGGCCCCAGGAAGTGGGTTTGGGGACCAGGCTGTCCCCCCCACAGTGTGGGCCTGGTGCCTTCTTGGCCGCAGCCAGATCCGCTCCCTCCCAGTTAGCACCTCTGCCTTTGCCTCGAAACCAGAGTCTCAGAACTACCTTGTTTACTCATCCGGAAAGCCGGGGACAGTTTGGGATGCGGCATTTTTCCCGTAAGCCCGGAGACCGTGCCTGTAAGCCGTCTGGGGAGGGGTGCAGGTCTGCTGCCCGGGCTGCTTCCGGGGCCTCCAGGGTGCAGGGGTGGCTGACTCAGAGCGCTGCTGAGTGTCGCCAGCCCAGGGCCCCGGGTGCACCGAGCCACGGGGAGGGGTGGGCCCCCCGGGCAGGACGTGAGCAGGAACCTTGAGAGCAGCCTGGCCGCAGACCCACCCCCCTGGAGATGCACAGAGCGCGTCCAGAGACGGAGAGGCTGCACCTGGGGCGGCCCTGGAGGAAGCCAGAGGCACGTGGGCTGGCCAGAGGCAGCTCAGAAGCAGCGAAAAGGAAGGGGCCCCAGCCAGAGCCAGACGCAGACAGGGAGGCGGGGGTGACAGCAGCGCAGGCTCCTCATTCGGATAGGCCAGCGGAGTGGTGCTGGGCAAGTCCCCGAGCCTTGGTGCTGTGGCTGGCAGAAGCCTGCCCCCGAGCACAGTGGACGTCCGACAGGGATGCACAAGGGTCAACAGTGCTGCAGAGATAGCTTGGGCTATGTGACACTGCAGCTGGGTGGCTTCAGACATGTCCCTTCCTACAGTTCTGGAGGTGGACCTCAGATCCACACCTGACCTGGGTGGGTGCTGGGCACGTGCCCTCTCTGGCCTGCACATGGCCGCCCTCTCTGCTGGGTCCTTACACGAAACAGACTCCTGGTGTGTCTTCTGGGGGCAGGGTCCCGTGGTGACCCCCTCTTCCTGACCCAGCTAATCCTTGCGGCCCTATCTTCAGATGCCATCATGCTGGGGGCTGGGGCGTGGGGGTCGGGCACAGTTCAGTCCACAGCAAGGACGGTCAGGAGAAAGGTCTGATTGAGGGGACACATGGGGAGGAGAGGCTGGGTCCTGGAGCCGTGTCACACACACATTCCTCCATGGCCACCCAAGGCAGCCTTTGAGTCTTGAGTGACAAGTGCTGAGGCCAGTCTTGTGGCGCTCACTCGGGGAGACCTCAGACCGAGTCGGGGCCCTGCTGGACGCTGTGGGACTTTTTCCTAGGCAGCTGGTGGCTCCTGTGGCCTGTGGATCTGGAAGGGGTTCGGGAGGCTGAGACGGTCAAAATATTTGGTGGGAAATTAAAGACTTGAGACACTGGGAGGGACCAGCAGGTGTCCTGGAGCGGATGTGCATGTGGGGTCCCGTGTTGGGGTGGTGCAGCGAGAGGACCTGGCTGGTGGGCGAGGACATGGAATGATCTGGAAGGTGAATCTACGGGACTAGGCTGGAAGGGTCGATGAATATCCAGATACTTGAAGGAAAGTGCTCGCGAAGCCAGACTGGGTTTCCGCCCTTCTCAGCTCCCCGTGGGAGAGCGGCTTGCTCCGGGGCCTCGGTTTTCCAGCGCTCGCTGTGTGGCCTGTGCTGCGTGCCGAGCGCGGGGGCCAACGGGCAGGACGTGGAAGCAGCGCGGTTTGTTTAGGCCTCTTTCCTGCCTGTGGTCACGCTTTGGAAGCTGTGTGGCTGCTCGGTAGCAGAGGTGTCACTTAGCTGCGTGTCATTAGAAGAAATGGTGCAGAGCGGGACGGGAGGGTGGACTTTCCCAGCCTGTCGGTCCTTCCTGCTGGGGCAGCTGAGGGCCCAGGTCACCAGGTACTTCTTCCTAGGTTGTGGGGCTACCTGGAGTCCCCAGGAAGCAGAGGATGGGGACTATGGGAGCAGGTTCCACACTGGTTAGGAGGGACACTGTACCTGTGGGAGTCCCCGGGTACCACGATCCGCACACGCTCTCTCAGGCCTTCCAGCACATTCTATTCACTGGAACCTGCTGCCTGTCATCCCAGCTGTCTGGGAGGCGAGCTGCAGGATGGGCCAAGATGGGACTGCGTGACCATCTGACCCATGGACGACGTGGGTGACTCACCCACTTGTGAGCCATGTCACTATGTGGTTCATAAAGGACCCTGGAACAGGGCAGTGAGTCCAAGACCAGAGTGCCCCTCTCAGAGGGATCCGTAGAGGGCACCAAGGAGCATCCAGCTCCTGGCTCTGCCTGGTCCCTTGACAGGCCCGAACCCAAGTGTGGCCCAGCGGACCTCGCTGCTGTTTAAAGGTGTGGGGAAGCGGAATCCTGCTCTTGGTTACGGGAGGGCACCGCTGCAGACTGGCCTTTCCTCCCCCTCCCTCTCCCGCTGTGGGGGACGGTGTGAAGCTGTCCCAGTGAGTCAGTTGGGTCATTTCAGACCACAGAGATGTTCTTGTCCACATTTTGGGCCCAGGAACCTGAAGTTCGGCAGGAGACCACGAGACCTTTGCAGGTATAGTGCCAGAGTGGCTCAGTTCCAGAAACTTCCAGTGATGAGTCAGCATTTTCATGGAGTTCCCAGGGACCCCGAGGATCTTTCAAGTTAGGGCAGCCCTGGCCTGGGACCACCCCCATAGAGCTGGGGCCCCATCTCAGCCCTGCCGGGTGCTAGGGGACTGTCCCGGGCGAGGCCCCCTTCTCTCCACTTTGGTACCTTGGCACGAGAATGGGAATCGCCATCACCCTGAAGACAGCCCAGAGCCTGAAATGGGGCAGAGTGGACGGCCACCTGCCAAGCGGATGTGCGGCGGGAGCCGGGAGCCGAGTTGAATCTTAGGCGTTGGTTGAATTAAGACAGGCCCTTCTGGCTCCGATGCCCCGTCCTCCACCTAGCAGCAGACAGAGGTGAGACTTCATGACTGAGCAGGATGTTGTGCCTCTCAACGCTGCAGATAAACCAGCAGCTGGAGGCTACTGTTCTGAGACGGTGGCAGAGCTGTCACCATCTTGGAAACCTGCTTTTTGAGCCCATGGAGCGAGTCCAAGTGTGGCCGCCTCCCACCAGCACCCCAGGGCGTGGGGCTTGGAGGAAGAGCTCTCGCTCGGTCCAGGTGGAGGTAAGAGCTTGGCCCCTGGGCTGCCACCTAGACGCCAACTGCTCCTCCAAGGCCGCCACCTGTGCGTGACACCTGCTAGCTCCCAAGGGCGGCCTGGATGACAGGAAACTGTCCCAGCCCCTTGGAGCTGCATTTTTCTGAGAGCAACAACTCTGCAGGGTGGGGAGGGCTTTTTCTCACTTACAACAGGAACACCCTGCCGTAGGGTGGGGCGCAGGGTGGTGGTAGTGGAGGGTGTCCTCTGGAGGTCTGAGGGTAGGTCATAGCATTTGTGTAGAGAGGGGACGTGGGCTGTGAACACACCAAGGTCGTCCTCAACGAAAATGGGAACTTGCGTCTCTTACCACGGGCACTAGAGGGGCAGCGGTGAGGGTCTGCAGCCTGGTTTGGGGCCTGTGAAGTTTGAGATGCCCAGCGGGCAACCTGCCCATCTAAGTCTGAAGTTGAGGGGCGCCGGTCTGGACTGCTGTTGGGGTAGGGGTCGTGTTTTAGGGTCCCCAGGGGCCTTATCTGACAACAGCTGCCCTTGGGTCTGTGAGAGTCGGTCTACAGTAGAGAGGGGAAGTACAGCCGTCACCACTGCGGGCCACGTGCCCCTGCGGCAATGGAGAGTGGGCGTTTTGTTTCAGAAGTGGCTGCAGCAGCTTCGAGGGAGGAGGGACCAGGCGGTCCTCTTGCCCCAGGGCTGCAGCAGCCTGGAATCGACCCCCAATACCCAGGTCCCGTGGGAGTCACCTGGGACTGCACAGCGGCTCAGAGACCTCCCTTTACCAAGCGTCCTCGCCCCGAAGCCGAGCCCTCGGGGAGCTCTCCTCCCTCAAGCCCACGGTGCTTTTCCCTGCAAGAGGCCGACCCCAGAGGTGCTTCCACGTCCCACCCTCGGCACGACCTCTGGCCTGATCCTGTGCCACCAGAGGGGACGGGGAAGGCGGTGTCCAGAAAGCTCCAGAGAGGATTCTAGAGAGAGAGACAGAGAAGGCATTGCTGTTACATAAAGAAGAGGAGAAAACATGGTGGGAGGGAAGGGCGCCTGCGGGAATGACRCAGGCTCATGGTTTGCAGGTGCTGCTCTCGCTCTGATTGGGCAGAGGCTGTAAAAATAGTAACCCCCCCACACACACTGACAAAACAGGAAGACAAGGTGCAGTCTTAGGAATTTACGTGGCTGCTGAGGTGTAATTGCTTGTAGAGGGACACGGGCYGACTTTGGGGATGCTGGTTTCCCCGTTGACCCCAGCAGAAGCCAGCTTTGGGATTTTCTCTCTAGACGGCCACTGTTTAAAACTCCACGGCAGAGGCCTTTGGACGAGCTCGCAGTGGACACGTGTCCCCTTCACATCGCTGAGGTGCTCCGAGCTCAGAGAGCCCCAGGACTTTCACAGCGATCCTCACCTCAGTGACCGTTACCCTGGTTCTGGGTTCATTGTGGCACAGACATTAAAACGATACAGAACTTGGGTTTCAGTCCCAGCCACAGGGTTGCGTTCGCTCCTGGGTTTGAGTGGCTTGGAGAGACCCCAGGTGGATGGTGTGGCCGTGACTTGGTTGGACTATAATAGAGATCAAAGATGATTTTTTTTTTCTCAAAAATGGTTTTGCAAATCTTTTTCAGAGCTGATAGACACACACCTTAGCTGGATACAAAACATATTATGAAACAGAATGACTGTGATCTTTGATCCGAGAAACCAAAGTTAAAGGTAATTGTCATCTTCTGCTTCTCCTTTGGTTTTCCAGCTGTGTGTTGTGTTAACTTTTTTATTTTTATTAAGTAAAAGAAAGCTTCCCAACCGGAAGCCCTCTCCCCTCCTCCAGCCACCCTCACAGCCACCTTTCCTGCTCCCAAGGAAAGAGGACGTTCTGGGTCTGTGAGCCTGGGCAGGAGGAGAGGGGAGGTGGCCTGGGGAAACGCATGCTCTCYGGGGGCTCCCTCAACCCCTCCAGGACTGGCGTGCAGGGACAGATTCCACGTGGGGGGGGGRGGCTCTGCACAGGGGACAGACAGACGGCAGGGAGGACATAAGACCTAGCGGGCGGCACAGGAAGCTCCCATGTGTAGGCAGTTTCCTGTCAACCCCCTCCTCTCAGTCTCGGTCCTCCCTGGGGACGTGTGTGCTCTGTCACTTGACAGCGTTCACTTGCTGCTCGCTGTCTGGATATGAAATGTGCCTCTGGAACCGAGGCTGGAGCGCTGGTCTCCACAGGGTCCCCCCTCCCAGCTTCAGTAGCGGGTCCGCCCTGCGTGACTGGGGCCACGGAGCCTGTGCAGAGTCGGGTGGTGAGCGCAGGCCTGGCAGCGCAAGGGTCACAGGCTGGTAGGGGACACATTCAGGTGGGCAGTTGAGGAAGTTCCTGAACCTTCTGTGCCTCAGCTTCTTGGAGGCTGACGCTGTGGTCCCACCTCCTGACATTCTCGTTAGARCACTGAGCCAGCATGCAGCTCGGGGACACCCGATGGCGGCCTGATGGGTTGTGTGCCTCCTGGCTGCCGGTCTGTGGCTTTCTGCGGTCCCTTTGTCAAGCGCAGAGTCTCCGATACCACCCAGGCCAGGTCCAGGAGTCTGAGGCAGACTCACTGAAGGCCACTCTGAAGTCCCAGGGAACGCAGCACCCGGAAGCCGTCCCACAGCAGACCCAGAAGAGCGGACGCTCAGAACCATGTTTCCCAGTGGACAGGGCTGAGCTGTGCCCATGCTCCCCAGTGTCACTGCGAGGGCTTAGCCGGAGGGCAGTTGCTCCAACATCCCCCAAACACGAGTCCCAAACACGAGCAAGTGTGAAGCACAGCGYCCAGGCAGCCCCCGCTTCTGCTCCTGTCTGGGACGTCAGGGTGTAGAGACCCTGTGCAGGCCCAGCTCCGACGGGTCCCGACTCTGCAGACCCCACCTGCCACTTGGGCGACAGCCCATCAAGGGGACTTTTGCTTCCACTGAGTCCCTGCAGTTAGGCCAGGCTTGTCCAGAAGCCTCTTCTCCACAGTGTGTCAGTGACCAGACTCCTTGGAAGGGGCCGGGAGAAGAGGAAAGGGCTGGAGATCGCTAAGCAGAGCCTGGGGAGGGGTGGCCGGGCAGGCCAAGGCCAGCTTTCCTCCCCAGCCTCCTTCCCTCACTCCTGGGGAGGCCCTCCGTCAGTGGACAGTTGAGGCCTGGCACGCTTTCTTGGCCTTCAGAGCAGATTCCCCCAGGAGTGGTAGGAACAGAGGCAGAGCCGAGAGCATTCCTGTGCTTCCTGCCGTCGTCTCGTCCTGCCCCAGGCAGGCAGGAGGGTCTTAGGAGTGGGTCCACCCGTCATGGTGGGCAGAGGTGATGGCCTGGGGCATGTCCTAGAGGCCTCTCCCGTCCCTCCCAGCGGGGGCAGTGTCTTCATGGCCGTGGCCTTTGTGGCCAGCACTCGCTCAGGCTCTGATGGGCACGCACGAACGCTGTCTAGCCAGATGGCGGGACGTGGAGGTTTGGGATAGCGCCCTGCAGGCCCCTGGTGCCTTCCTGCTGCCACTTTCCCAGGGGATGGAGTTTCAAAGTCAGCATTACGGGGAGGAGGGCCGCAGGAGAGTCACCCGAAAGGCCCTTCCTGGCACCTGGGTAGATTGGTGCAACCCTGAGCAGCCGTCCAGGGGCCCAAGGTGGAGGACCTGTGCTGACAAAGACGGGGCTTTCACAAAAGCGGAGASTCCGGCAGAGCGGGCCGCTGGCGGGAGGCAGTCCTGCTTGAGAATTGGCCACCAAGTCAACCCAGAGCCATCTGATGAGTGATACTAGTTGAGGCTTTGGTTTCCCCACAGGGTTGTCCCCCCAAAGTAGGTAGGGAGAACACCCTTCTTTCCTTTCTGTTTGGCCACTGGGATCTAATTGGGGGCCGGCTGAYGCGGGCTCCTGGGCCAGAGCTGGCCCCGCCTGTCTGGGTAAAGGAGTCTAGCGGGAGCACAGCCGTCGCTCATCCACTGCCGGTCACCGCTTCTGCACCCCAGCAGCAGAGCTGGACCGTTGAGGAGAGGGCTACGGCACCCACACAGCTAAAGAGACCACCTGTCCCTTTACAGAAGGGGCCTCGTGGCCCCTGGTGCAGCCTGCTCTGATGTGGGCAGCCACTTTTATTAGATCATTCCTATTCTTCTTATCCATGGTGCCGTGACCGTCCTTTATGCTGGAAATATTGCCTCGTGCTTCTGCGTTTTAAAAAGTTGCCGCAGTCCGGCTGCAGCAAAATAGCCGGGGGGTGACGAATAACTTCTGTAGATTGATGCAGCAGGAGTAGGAGCCGTTTATTGTAGGGCAACAGAGCTATTTAAGATAAGCTGTGCAAAATGTATAATTAGCATAAACTAGATACATCAGTCAACCAATAAGGAATCTCCACACTTTTTTTTTTCTTTTTTAATATTTATCTTCCAGTTTTCGGCGGACACAGCATCTTCGCTTGTATGTGGTGCTGAGGATCGAACCCAGGCCGCACGCATGCCAGGCGAGCGCGCCACCACCCGAGCCACATCCCCAGCCCGAATCTCCACACTTAATGGCTCACTTTTGTTACTTCTTAAACCACTCCCTCTGACATTTTGCCAGGCACCATCCAGACTTGTTTACGAACTCTAACATTTCTCTGGCAAAATACCAGGTGTTATTTTGATTTGTCTACAGACCTTAACAAAAAGTGTCGAATTTTCATGCACTTGAAATCTGTCCTTCTTTTCTGGTAGCAGCCTTAGGGGTCAGACTTAGGGGTCACCCAGAGGTTATAGACCCACTTGCTCTCGGTCCTGTCAGGCCAGCACCTCTGAGGATGAGGAGGGTCAGGGACTCTGGCAGTGACCACCGCCAGCCTCGTCAGGCAGAGCACCTGCTGTGGCCACCGTCCCTTGCTTTTCCCCGAGTCACACACGAGACACTGAGGATGACAAAGACTGACCGCACAGCACCGTCTCTGGCTAGTTGTAGGGCGGTGGAGAAAGTGGGCCCTGGGTTCAGACCCCAGTCCAGTCCCCTTTGCCTGCAGTGACAAGTGGCGGCTCTGTTTCCCTACGGATTAAAGGGGGTGGGGACTCTGTTACGGGGTCCCAGGCGTGGTGCAGGCCCAGCCCCCAGCTCTGGAGAAAGGAGCAGGGTTACCTTCTTCTGCAGGGACAGGCTCCTGGAGGGCAGGGGAGCAGACGCCCATGGAAAACCAGGTCCCCAAAGAGGGAGACCTAGCTGCTGGGGCAGGGCGAGGAGCACCTGCTGTGGGCACGGGGGGATGCCGTGCACTGTGCGGGGGATGTGGAAATCCAGCACTTGCCTCTCTGAAGGCAGCGAAGGTGAAATAGGAGGCGCTTCTGGGAAGAGGTGGCGTTGGAACAAGTGCAGGAAGGAAGGTGGAGTCGACCGGGAGGGGATCTGTGGGAACGGCCTGGCCCCAGCCGGGGAAGAGGCCGGAGGTGCCGTAGCTGGCACAGGGCAGGTGCCAGAAGCATTGGTTGGGTAAATAAATTGCTTGGATCTCAGGGTCAAGCCCGGGGCCATGCTCAGCTCCAACAGCAAGGCCTGAAGGGTCTCAGCCCTCTCTGAGGTCTGTGTTCTTATCACTAAGCGTCCCCGGGTCCCCCGGGTCGCCAGGCCGGGGCTTCGTCCAGGCCCCGGAGCACGCGAAGCAAGAGAGTTGGCAGAGTGAAGGGACCCAGGGACCCCACAGGTCCAGGTGCCAGGAGCCTGCGTCTGAGCTTTGATGACACGGGTGAAGAGGGGTCTGGTTGGGACCAGGACAGAGGGGACAGGGGACTCAGGATCTGGTGGAGGGCAGACCAGGGCAGGACTTCTGAATCTAGAGAGCTGGCTTAGAGGGAGAGAGCGAGAAAAGGGAGAGGATCACCCGGGGAGGAGGAGGAGGTGACAGGACCGAGTGGGGGGCTCTCCACCTGCTGAAAACCCAAGGCCGCGGTGGACAGACGTGGGATTGATTCCAGGGACAGGGAGCACCCCCTGCCCCCCACACGCTGCAGGAGGAGATTTCAGTATCGGTTCCTCGGGGGACTCGCAGCCCCGCTCTGCAGTCTCACCTGCCCCACGGCCACCTGCTGACATTGCTGTTCTAGAACTTTCTCCTTGTCGGCAGCCAGGGGAGGAGCAGGCTGAGGTTTCAGAAAGAAAAGGTCTCTACCCAGAGAGGTTGTGGTGGGTCTGAACGTCTGAGCCCCCGAGCCACCCCCCGCGGTGACGGTGAAGGTGGCGGTCTCAGAGCAGAGCTCCTGCTGAGCTTCCAGACGGTTGCCCACCCCCCAAAGGTGGCTTCCGGGCAGCAGCACGGATCTCGTCCCAGGGGAGGGGAAAGCGGCTTTGCCTGCAGGAGAGGCTGCCCCTGGAGCGGCCCTGTGATCTGAGAAGGGCACGGGCCCCTGTGTGGCTGCCCTGGTGCCTCCAGCTCTGCCCAGGGCTATTTTTAGAAACTTGGGGCTGTGGAAAGTTTCCACCGAGGATCGGCTCCTGGCTTCCTAGGTTGAGAAAACAGGAAGGCCCTCAGGATCCGGGCTTTGAAAAGCTCCGCGTGAAGCTGCCCGACCCACCCCACCCCACCCCACCCCTCTCAGGGCACCTCAGCTTATCTGGCCCTGGTGGGGAAGCGGAGGGGGGTCTTCATCCAGTCTCCAGCTCGGCCCCTGGGATCCACTGGTGGCCGGAGCACCGTTCATTCAGTCGGTGCCGAGTGGCGCTGGGCTCATCCCAAGGTCCTGTGTGTGCAGCCGCTTCCATGGGAAGCATTTGTCCCTCTAGCAGTCCCGTCCCCCTCCGTGAGCACACAGCTGTCCCCTTCTCTCTCACACACTCCCTCTGCACACCAGCACCTGCTCCCAGGGGCACGCAGGCGTTTCTCTACTTGGGCCATCTCACCCAGGACCCTCCACAGCCCCAGAGTAGCCGACAGACGCACTTACAGATGGAGAAGAGGAGGCACAGAACCGTCGTGGCACACAGGCAGGTTCAGAGCCAGGACGTGGCCAGCGCGGGACTCCGACCCCACCCTCCGACACCAGGACCTTTGCCCTGCACAACGGTCCCTGGCTCCAAAGTGCCCAGATCCCGCGGGGATGTTCCTGGCCAGTGCGGCCAACGGGGCTGAGCACGACGCGCCTCAGGCCCCGCAGGCTTAGTGTCCTCCTGCCGCCCCACAAAGAGCGCAGGCCCAGGATTGGGGACATGAGGCCCGGGGAGGTGAAGCCACACCTCCAGCTAGGGGAGCACGGAGAGGAGCCTGGCCTCAGCTCTTTAAAGCTGTGGGTGCTCCCCACCCCTGTCCCCGACCATCCCGGCAGAGCACCAGGACCCTGGAGCCGGGGGAGCCCGGCTGCACCAGGGAGGGGCTCTGGGCACAGGCACCCCCMCACACACCAGCTTCCTATCTCCAGAGCCTCAGGAAAAGGCCCAGATGAGGGCCTGGGGGCCGTGGGAGAAGTCAGGGTCAGAGCTGGGGCAGGGGAGAGTGGCCTGCCTTTGATAGGAACCCGGAAGGGTCCCACTCCCCCCACTTCYACCGCAGTCAACACACCCAGCCTCGGGGCGCACGTTTGCTGATCTCGGCAGTGAGCCGGCACTAGGGTGGCCATTTCCAAGGGTGCCAAAGGGAGTCTGTTGGCAAGATCCGTCATCCGGGGGTCTCATGCTGCCCGTGACCTCCGAAGACCCTCCTGGAGGAGCAGAGAGCTGGCCGGGGCTGGCCTCGTGCCCCTGGTGCCCTTTCAGAGCTCCATGCATCCTTAAGGGGGTGAAGGTGACCAAACCCCAGGGTCCCTCTGAGGATACTTTCAACTTCTAAGGCTCACGACCAGCGGGGAAGAGCCTACTTGTGCAGAAATTAATAGAGATTTCACTTCAATCGACGGCTGCTTACTTGCTGTCGTTTAGGGGCTCCTAGATTTTTATGGGACACAGACATGTCATATGCGTTTCTGTAGGCAGTCGGTGAAGGAGTTCGGGAGCCGATTGCACAAAATGTTCTGATCCAGGAAAGCAAAACATGACAAAGGAAGGCATTTCTCATGCTAAAAAAAAAAAAATGGTCAAGTGTATCATCACGAGGAGCAAAAACATACTCTTTAAAAAATAGCCCGATGGAGGGGCTGGGGTTGTGGCTCAGCGGCAGAGCGCTCGCCTAGCACGCGTGAGGCCCTGGCTCGATCCTCAGCACCACATAAAAATAAGTGAAATAAAGGCCTCGGGTCCAACTACGACTGAAAAGTTAAACAAATGTTTAAAAAGCTAGCCGGAGGGCGGTTCTGGAAAGCTGATCCGTGTGTGCAGCGCTGCTCATTGGTCTCTCTCTTCTTTCCTTTTACAGTCAATGAAATCATCAGGAAGGAGTTTTCTGGACCTCCCTCCAGAAACCAGACGTAGAAGCAGCCATCATCGCAAGACATCCGTGCCTCGGACCCCCACCTGGAGCCCTCGCCGCCTCGCTTCTGTCCCTCTCTGTTCATCTCCTGGCCAGAGGCCCCACGGGAGCCACGCTCGGGCCAGCTGCTGGCACAGGAGCTCGCCGCCCCTCTCTGGAAACGCCAGAGCACCTCTTCCTTTCGAATTTCGAGTCCCAAAGACCCTCCCGGTTGACCTTCACAGCGACCCATCTGGATGTCACGTGCCTGCTGACCAGAACCACATTGGGAATGTGGCGGGAAGCTGGAACTGGCCCGAGGCCGGAGTGGCTGGAGTGGGAGGGGAAGGGCTGGGGACGAGGTGGGCTCGATGGAGCCCCAGCCCCTGCGTTCACTTTTCCAGGTCCTGGGATCAGCTCCTGGCCCTTCTGAGGRAGACAGGGCCTCAGAGCCACCAAGGGAATGTGGCCGCCGAGTCCAGCTGACGCACCCCACACCCTCGAGGCCGAGGCCGAGACTGGACCGTTGTCCGTGGTGCTCTCCTCACAGTGGGCCACAGCGGGAGCTTTATTTTGGGATTTTCTCCTTCCCAAGCAAACTGCCTTGCCCAGACCGGATCCCCAGTCACGACGGCTCGGTGTTGACGTGTACACGTTTGTCATTATCATTATTCTATGCTTCAGAGAGCTGGCCAAGGAGGCTGGGGGCTGAGCCTTCTCGGCCAGTAGCTCTCTCCCCCTGCTGCCCACAGCCAGCGCTGATGCCGAGCGTCCCGGATGGGGCGCTGCCCGGCCTGCTGCCACTGTCCACTGTGCTCCTTGAGAGTCCTCCCCGTCTTCCCCGCGGCCAGCACACTCGTGGAGTATCTAGGAGAGCCTCAGGCCTGCGTAGTGAATGTCAGGGACGAGGTGGAAGGGCCACAGCAGCAAGAAAAAAAAAAAAAGTGCAAGATTTTCGTTCAAAACACCCAAGTGCAAGATCAAAAAAGGGTTGGATTCCCTCTCTGCTCCAAACTCAAGAGTCAAACAGGGAGCCTCAGGCGCTGGCCCCCAGGATCATGGGTGGCTTTTACCCGAGTCCATTTAAAGTTCCCCTCAACCCCAAAGTGCTGGCCCTAGCACCCCTCCTGCATGAGCAGAGCGTCCAACAGCAGCAGGTCTGTGTGATCCCCAGCTGCACAAGGCCCTGCATGGGATTGCTCCTTGGGTGCCGTTTCTGCAAATGAAACCCTGGGCTTTCTTGGCAGGTGGTTATCACACAGATGTGCATGATTGCATGCATCGCAGGCACCCAGGACAAGCTGGGCATTCTCTCTCGGCCGTTCAGTTGATTCCTTAGCCATCAAACATGAAGTGAAAATATCCTCAGCCTGTACTCGAAGGAGTTTCTCAGTCCAGTCTGCTAGGGAAGGCCTAGGAGGAGCGCCCGGCTGTTAAACATGCACAGTGGCTTTTCTAAGTCCCTGCTGTCTTGTCCGGGCTAGCCATGGGTAAGCCTTCCCGAGAGCCGGGCCCGGCATGGCTGGTGCGCTCCACAGAGGATGAACACCCAGTTCTGCTCTGTGCACCCAGGGGTGTGGACCTTCTAGGTTGATGCATAGCATTTATTTCTCCTACGAGCAGCAGACCTGATCACCCACCCGCTGCGGAGTCAGGCAGAGTCCCTTTGATGCGCAGAATGCCAGGAAGAAGCYGAGCACTGCCACAGAGCTTTTGCGATGCCGAATTCTTCCTCATTAACAAAGAAAAGTCCCCTCTAGCAGCTTTACCTAAGGGATTCCCTCTCCAGCAGTACTTACTTTGCTGGGGCAGAGTTTCAAGGGCTGGCTGAGTGGTCTGCTGTCACTTGGCCTGGCTGGGAGCCATTTTTTGCACATGAGGGAATCAAGCCTTTCCTCATTTGTCTGAATGTTTTACCCAAGTGCCTTCCTGCAATTGTCGCAAAGGAGCTCGGCTTCCCCGTCCATGGGGCGAGAGAGGGACTAACACGTTTTCCAGCCACCTTCTCACCATGGTTGCAAAAAGGGCTTCCTGGCAGCTCAGATGTGCATGTGTGCGTGATGCACCAATAAACCCCCCTCTCTCCAGGACTGCTGGAGACAAAGCATTTTCACAGCAACTGAACCGAACAGCAAAGGAAAGGAAGCGTTTGTCTAGAGACACAAGCAGGCCAGAGAAAGTGTATCCGGAACCCACGGCTTCAAAGGTTTTGTCCGTCGTCGTCAATGCCAGGAGGAAGCTYGGCCGAGAGTAAATGGTGCGAGAAATATTTTCTGCAAGGGAAGAGGCAGTAAGATCCTCCAAGAGGACGAGACAGTAAGGGTGGCTAAACGGGAAAGATGGGTATGTCGCAGGTGTCGGAGGGACCCCAGTCAAGTCGAGGTCTGTACGTGCCCCATCAYGGCCACGTACGTTATGTTGCGCTGGCAAATCCGTCAGGTTGCTGAATGTACTGTTCTTCTAAAGTTTGCAAGTCTTCCTGCGTTATACAGAAATACTGCTGCTTGATAATATATATGGCAATCCAGATTAATTAGTATGTTATTAAATTTTATTTTCTTACCTGTATTTTTATGCTTTTTTTAATCTGCCCTCAAAATATTGCATTCCTGAATTAGAAAAATATTTATAAATGGTCAGAAATCTTTTTAAGTGTCTCTTTTTACATATATGTTGATTATTTTTCTGTAAGAGAAATGGTGTATTCTTGAAAACTTTTTGTAAATCATTCCAGGAAACAAACCAAAATCCCCACATCTGGGCCTGGTGGGTGCTTAGGGTAGCAGGAGCCAGCACCTCAGACTAAGAAAGGGGACGGTTCTGTGGAAGAAGAATCCATCCTGTTCTTGGCCGAGAGTGGTGCTTGCTTTCTGCAGGCCGAGCCTGGGTTTTGTCACCGAGAATTGTAAATAAACGATCTAGAAAGGTGATATTTTTGATTTTTAAAGCAACGACAGAACCCTGCCTGCGTAGTAATAGAATCCAGAGAGTTCCTACTGACAGGACCCCAGGTGCAGGCTGATCTGGACAGAGTTGACCAAATCGGAGTCCTGAGAGGTGACCCCATATGCATTATCCACAGGACCTCCRCAGTTTTCCCACACGGACGTCGCCAAGGACAAACAGAGCCGCTCCCCCCAGGAATGTTGGAGCGCTGCTCTGCAGACCTGCATCCGGCAGCCAAGACATCTGTCTCAGCGGGCCAGCCTGGGCCAGGGCGGGAGCTGTCACGCGGGCAATTGGAAGCTGATGTGTTCTGATTGTCACTCGGGACTGAAAGAGGCTGTTTATTTTCATGTCACAAAAACCACTCTCCACGTGCTTCCTGTTGTTTGGGATGGAGGGGCTGTCGGAGGTCCACTTGACAACTGTGCTCAATTCTCATTGACAAGTGGCACGGGGGTGGTGACGTTCTCGACCAGACGGGTCACCGTTCCCCAACTCGTGTTCCGGAGGGATAGCCCTTCGGGGACCTGACACGTCTTAATCTCAGGTCTCCCAAGCGGGGGGCGTGGGCACCCTAGCAGTTTGTCACACAGTGAGGTTTTCCCGCAGTCCAACCACATGCTTAGAGGAAAGCAGTGTCCGACCCTCAGCTCTCCTGGGGCCCTCAAGTCATAGCATGACTGTCTTAATTCACTTTCAAAACAAAAACAAAACAAAAAATAACTTTGATGATTGGCAAGAAGGGTGCTTCCCAAGCAAGCCCCTCCAAAAACGCAGTGTGGTCCTGGACTCTGTTCACCGCTGTCCTCCTGCAGCCAGGCTGGGCTCCCCTGCCAGGTAAGGGCTGGGCGGGGCTGGGATGCAGAGGATGCTGCAGCATGTGAGCAGACGCGCCCAGCATGGCGGCTCGCCTGAGCAGAGGTGGCCGAGGGCCCAGCAGTCCAGCTTCTGGACACCCTGGCCGAGAACCTCACTGGCCGCCATGGCTCCTGCAGCTCCCGGGGGAGAACGCGTGGGGTCGTAATGGGGTTCTCCAGACATCAGCAGCCCCAGCAGCGCCGTGCTAGAAGGTTTGAGAATCCCGACTGGTCGAGGGGTTAGAATACATCACATTCCTATGCAAAATGGTTTTTAACCTGCAGTTTCATGTAGTTTATTTTTGCTATATGTAAAGTATTTTTTATACGGCTTGTATTATGATAGTTGAGCAATAAAATGGTTGAAAGCAACAGCTGCGTGGGTGTCTGTCTGGGGAGGGAGTGCTGGGCATGGTCTGCACTCTGGGTCCATGGAGCAAGGAGCTTTTCTGGGGAGTCCATTTCCTCTTCCCCTCAGTCTGGGGCGATGGTGCTGTCCACTTTAAGTGGCTCAGAGCCATCTGTCCAAGGTAGCAGAGCGGGAAGGTCCAGCGGGGTCTGATTCTCCCTGACATGGCTCCTCTGTCCCTTGACCCCTTCTGAGGGTCCAGAAACTCTAGATTCATGATGTCTACCTTAGGCCCCTTCCAGGGGCCCCAGAGCCTCTGTAGCCAGCAGGGCTGAGCCAGGACTTGGGAGGCCAACAGGGCTGCTGGGGAGCCCCTCTGACCATCAGCCCCACGGTTAGGTCGTACAAGTACTAGAAGTCTCAGCTGGCCTCCTCCTGGGGCGGTGCTTTGCCTCCCCTCGCTGAGCTCCGAGGACATTTAGAAGAACCTGCTTTTGTTTTAAATCCTTCCTGTTGTTCCTCCACCTCAGAGCTACTCTTAAACCCCACCAGGGAGAAGGGCCCTGACCAGGCCCTGTCCCAGGGAGCCACCCCTCCCCACCATGGCTCCACACTTGGGATTCCTTCCTGGGGGTTTCCTAGACTCTCTTCTGGTGCCCAGAGCCAGCAGGACCCCAGGGGCAGGGGCAGGACCACAGGGGCGGGGGGAGGACCCCAGGGGCAGGGGCAGGACCACAGGGGCGGGGGAGGACCGCAGGGGCAGGGGCAGGACCACAGGGGCAGGCCTGCATGGGTCCTGGCAGCTGGAAACATCTCTCTTGATATGGCCCGAGTCCCCCCTCTGCTGGCTGGGACCAGCTGTCCCCATCTCTCCCCTTCAGATGCCCTGAAGCGCATCCAGGTGAGCAGATGGCGCCTGGTGCCTGCTGCAGTGCTTGTGTGTTGGTGGGATCGAGAGAGATGGGCCGCCAGAGGAGGACTAAGCGCAGAGTTGGGGTGGCTCAGAGCATGGCGAGCAGGAGCACCCCCCCAGAACACCCAGCAGGCCACACACCTGGGGGCCACCTGCCCTCGAGAGGTGACTGCTGCAGCTGTGGGCTGCTCTCCTTTCCCTTCCTTTCCTTCTTCCGCTCCCAAAGAGAAAACTAGAATCGTCTTCATTTAGCAAAGAGTCTAGGGCTCCCCAGGTGGACAGTGAGGACAGCGGTCCCCACCTGCCGGGGCCCAGGTGCACGCTCCTCTCTCTGGCTACTGATCCCCCAGCTCCTTGTTTAGGGGACGATTTCAGACTCACCCAAGCTCCTGACGGAGCCGCGAGCGCCCTGGGACCTCATTTTCCCACCCTCCGGAGGGAGCCTTTGAGCTCAGTAACTAGATCAAACCCAGAAACTTGAAGGGATCCAATATTTGGCCCTAAGTGAAGGCAGTGCACCCTGGGACACCGTGGGGCGACGCGGCCAGGACCTCGCTACCCTGGAAACTCCCCTGGCTCTGCGCAGTTGTGCAGTTGTGCCCTAGGAGTGGGACGAGGTCACTGGTGCAGCCGCCCCCGGGGACTGAGAAGACCTGGGAAGACCATGTCCCCTCCGCCC